TATTCCATGCATAGGTCCACACGTTTTCCCGCCATGGAAAATGTTCCCCTAAAGCGCTAGCTGTCATTGTTTTGCCAACTCCAGAGGGCCCAACTATGGCTATAGAGCGGAAGTGCGTTTGATTCCGCAGGATTATATCAAGTTTTTGCAATGCTTCTTCTTGGTGCAGTATTTGATGTTCATTGATCCGTGCGAACACAGATCGTGCGTTTAGTTCTGCATCACAGTAATGTGGTATACCATGCACGATTTGATAATAATGTCGACGATAGCTACTAAGAAAGTCTTGAATAAGACTATTTTGCTGAGCGTTGTTTTGTGTGAGGTGATGTCCCAAAAGAACGGCAGCTGCGACGGACAAGAACAACGTGGCGAATAGTATTCGTTTAAGCTTTCGCAAGAAATTGAGGGTTGATTGTTCTTTGATAAGTTGGTCACCAGCAGTACTCGCAGGACTACTTGCCAAACGACGAAGCTTCAAACGTTTGCGGGTTCTAGCGGGCTATACCATGATGATTAGAATAGAGTATCAGGATAAGCAGTAATAAAAGGTCAAATACCAAGGGCTTACTGTTAATTTTTTCTCGTCTTCCATTACTAGTAAAGTCTTATTATTCTTTTAATTCTTGTATTTGAAAATGACTAAAAATTTAGATTGTAATCAAAGAAATCAAATAAATATATTAAAAACCCTTTGAAAGAAAACTCGAAGAAATGTCATTGGTCAAACCGGTACAAGCCAATTGTCGAGTTGCCAGACATTAGCAAGAAGGAAACCACTGTTTTTTTAACCCGAATTATAATAAAACCTTGGAAACCAAAAGTGAAAAGTGAACCGGTTCGAGGAAAATGAAACTCATAGCCCGAACACAATGAAAACGACGAGCTACAGACCACAACTGTCAAATTATTTTAACACGTACTCTTATGTAGATAATTCTTTTGGCGACGACAGGGCTTCGCGACGACTGTGGTTGTGGCCAGATTAGATCTATTTCTATTTTTCCAGCAATAAGTTATGAACGCATTGGAAGCGGCGAGCTACGTACCACTGCTTCCAATTTGTCATCGTCATTATCTAAANGTTGTGGCCAGATTAGATCTATTTCTATTTTTCCAGCAATAAGTTATGAACGCATTGGAAGCGGCGAGCTACGTACCACTGCTTCCAATTTGTCATCGTCATTATCTAAACGCTTTGTCGATGGCGGCATGATTTCTTTGAACGCGGCAGCGACATCATGAATTTGTATGAGTTTGACATAAAAGAAGAGGAAGGACCTTATCTGTCGCCAGAAAAATGGAAATAGATCTAACTAACTCTTCTAGAATCATACACTTTTCATAAAGCGGTGTCCATCCTCTTTCGTTTAAGGGGGGTTCCGGGGGCTACCCCCTTCCGCCCCACACCAAAATCGTTGTACAAATAAGCAAACTTTTCTCGATTTTTTTTATTAACAGGTCTTTTCTGCGCCGTTAAAAAAAAAAAATTTGTAACCGGTAAATTTTGTTACCATCTCACAAGCTGTTATTCTAATTGGAAACAGCACAGCCCTAAATGCAACCCTNCCCCACACCAAAATCGTTGTACAAATAAGCAAACTTTTCTCGATTTTTTTATTAACAGGTCTTTTCTGCGCCGGTAAAAAAAAAAATTGTAACCGGTAAACTTTGTTACCATTTCACAAGCTGTTATTCTAATTGGAAACAGCACAGCCCTAAATGCAACCCAGAATCATATGTAAAAGAGATCGTATATTACGATATTTAAATTAACAAAAGTAAACGTTTGTAGCCAAAAGGGAAATAAACCAAAACCCGAGCCAGGATCTATAATTTATTACAATGGAAATGTGAGTACTGTATTCCTGGAATAAACTATAAGATTGTAAAATGGACCTTGTATCATCATCAGTGTAAACCCATGCTATTCAGTGATCTCGAACTACGAGGTAATGGAATCTCTGAAAACTCTTAAGGACACCAAGAAAAAATACGGGTTGCGGAATTTAGCTACCATAACGTATGAGGTATTCCTTTGGTTTAGAAAAAAAACCAATCTGTGTTTAATTCAATTTGTTTTGATAGACATTGCAGTATCTTGAAGACTCGCCATGCAAACAGCAATCCCGTGAGACAATTCATAGTTTCCTGACTGAAGTGAGACACCTAAGCTGCAAACTGACCACCACAGAATGCCTGATGATGGTCAATGATCCACCCACTAGTGCATTACACATTCAATTGGTAATAAATTTCCTCACTTTCAAAATTGCTACACTAATGGTTTATGCATGTATTATCTTAAAACTGTTCCCTTTGTATATATTTTAGCTAATCGAAGACAGTGAAGAACGTTTAACCGAAGAGCAAGTCAACGAACTTCTACAAACAGTCACTAAATACTTTCCTAACATACCCTCTCAGAAAATAGTTGAAAATAAACAATTGGTATTTTTTTCTACAAATTCTGTTGTTATTTTTATTTATTGGAAATGCATTTGACGCAGTCCAAGCATCGTCTCTAGCGCTTCTGATCGCCCAAGTCATCGATGTAATCCTCATCAATCTCTGGCCACTTTTCTGGTATGACATCGAATAGATCATCTTTCACATCACCCTGGATAACAATTTCATCATCGCCTGTAACAGATGATCCACAAGCAAATTTTGTGCCAAAGAACTTTGCAGCGACTTTAAGGTCTATGTCTAAAGGAAGTTATAAAAAGAAATATAGCTTGTTTATCAAATTTATAAGTGATCATTTTTAAATTTCTCATATAGTTTAAGTTAACCTACCGAAAGTGTTCAGCCCGGTAACTACTGTGACCGACTTCTTTTTGCCACGCGGAGCTCTTGAAACGGTAATCTTTTTAGGAACATCTTCCTTCTTTTTATTAATCTTCATCATTCCTTTGCCCCCCCTTTTTTGTCGTTTCTTATCATCATCTGTGCCATCAGCCGCAGCTGCTTCATCCTTGATTTTCATTTGTTCAAATTCACTAGGAAGATGCTTTTCTAGCCAAGCTCTGCATTTCTCATATTCCGGGTAATATTCACAGTACTATAGCGTAAAAATAAAATATATTACACGTTTTAATAGGGCTTTCACAACGCCCTGGTCCTTACTTCAAGTGGCATTGTGCAGTTGCCACAATATTGCACAACCAAAGGATATGTGACTCCTTCACGGNAAGACGTTCAGCTGGATCTATTACTACACCTTCTGCCGCCATATTTTAATTAATAAAAATAACTAAAACCTATCGAAAATTTTCTACAATTGCAATCTAAAGACTTTGAGGAAATGTGGCTGTGTTGCTCAGCTGTTTATGGGCTTCGTTTGCTGTCATTTTTGACAAAACCGGCAGCTAGGAATGTTCGATATCGTATCGATTCTTCAGAATATCGATATTTCATGGCACGATAATCGATTTTTTGAATCGATATTCCAAGGTGGATATATCGAAGTCATCGATACTTTACCCGCAATAATAAATCATAATAAATTTATTTTTATCTACAAAAAAGTGTATGGAAAAATACTAAAGTAGGTTTAATCAGCAGCTTGTGTGATTTATTTAGCTCTTAAGTTTGACAAACCGCAAACTTTGTAGATGTCTGTAGTATATTGCGCAGTGTTGAAACTTTTCAGGTAATTCCTCAAAACGTGAATTTCGGGCGCGCTTTAGTATTTGTTGGGGGATTTCTATTTTGAGGGTTTTTCTCTCGATATATTTGCAGATAACAAATGTAGTCATGTTTTACACAAGAGAGTTGTTAAATCACTCCGAAAATTTTTGAACGAAAAGCTTTCCGAAGTTGAATAAAGAGCTAAATACATCACACAAGTGGCTTTTCAAACATTCTTCAAACCTACTTTTCCCATTTAGCCATATACCATGCAAACATGACTCGTTCAAACAAATAATTTAATTTTTCTTGCGGTTCGCAATTTAAACGGGTTTGGGTTTCTTCGATTTTTCTCTCTCACGTCCCCATGCGAATGAGGCGATTTTATAATACACAACGTAAGCGGTTTGATCAAATGTCAACATGGCGGCCAGAAAATCAAACAATTTTGATTTTGTTCACATTTGCCTCACACGGCTTGTCAAACCATCAAACACCCCAATACACAACATAAATAGTTTAAGGAAAGGAATATTTCCCTTGGTTTGTCAAGCCGCGTGTGTGGTGTTTTTCGTTCTTATGACTGCTTTTACACAGTTCAAGTATTGAATTCAATTCTGCTCGCATGTGGAAGAGAGGGGTTGAGAAGAAAAGGGACGAGTACGCATGCGTCTGTACCGTCAAGTCGTTTCAACTTTCTTGCTTTGCTTTTGGCATTNACTGTAAATAGTAAGCAGTACACAATAGATACTCAAATCTGTAATATGAAAATTTTGAGTAACTTGTTCGTGTTTTGAGGATTTTTCGTTTGTTTTTGAAGAATTTGGTATTTTTTTTGTGTCAACACTGATATTGAAAGCAGGAATTTATTTTATTTTATTTAGCATTGCAGTTTTTTACACGGCACTTTCGCTCACGGCTCATTTTTATAAAGCTATATAATTCACGTAATCACGTAATATAATCACACTTTTGTTTACAAAAATCTCGAACGAGTTCTCAAGAACGATTCACGATTCAGACGAATCACCAAAGAACGATTTAATTTACGATTTAAACGATTTAAATAACGATTGTAATGTAAATGTGTGCAAAAGGTGCTTGCTTGCTTTTTCGTTTAATTAATTAATTGGAAATGGGAATTACAGTTACAAGGAATGGGATATTAGTTGTGTTTTTTTTTTACAAATTATCCAGTAACTTGCCAGCAACTCTCCAATAACTTTATTTCTAAGAATTCGCTCTCATAGAAAAAATTTACAAAAAAGTACGTGAACGCTTTTCCAGTAATAATTTGCAAGTCTCATGAACAGCTGATAAATTGGTTGTTTATTCGCAGCATATTCTCAATAAAACAATATATTTTATAGTTAAATATGTTTATTTTGTGAATTTCCACAATAAAAAGCCACAAACAGTTTCCTTATTAGTTTAAATTTCATCCAGCAACATGCGATCAGCTGTTTTTCGTACTGGCAAATTCTTACAAGTAAAAATTTATCCAGTAAAATCCAGTAAAAGTTTTTGCGTGCGAACGAAAACGCCAAAACATGAAAATTCGTAAACCCTTTTACTGGATTTTACTGGAAATTAGTAAAAAAAAAACGCAACTATTATATGGGACCGGACCAAATATCGGATGGGACCAAATGCAACAGGGTGAAACCAGTGTTTATCACCCTATACTTCCGGTAGTGCATTCCAGTGACGTCCGTTAGGGCATTCCAAGTTTTGTGATTTATCCCTGTTCTGACATTCGTTCTGACATCATCAATGTTGTTTTGGAGGCACATTCGTTTAACCCTTATTTGTGTCATTGACGAGGTTTGTAGAAAAATTGACTGCTGCAAGCAACTGCAGTGAAGTTTCAAAGTGCAATAAAGTGGTTCAGTAAAAATAATAATGATGGTAAATAGCGGCTAAAAATTAGTCGGCAGGTAATGTTTGTGTGTAAACTAATTAAAACTGTAGTTTCATATAAAATCACTAATTAGTTAATGTGTTATTGGTGAGCAAGCTGCGGGGTGATTACGTGCTCGGAGTTCAGCAGACGTTTTTCATTTATTGATTTTTTACATTAAATTTAAGCAAAGGAAACACCGAAAAAGGTCAAGTTTCTTAAAATTCATTTACATTATAATAATCAATGAATGAAATTCGATACGATGGTGAAACGTGTGGAGCGGATAAATGCGCGTAGACAAACCTTTGATGACTGTGCAACGCCAGCAGAGCAGCAAACAGATCTCCCTGGTGGCACTCACCACACTTTTGACAAATCATATAATTGAAACCGTCTAGCAGGTTGTGAAGTGGGTGTTGGGCACAACAGGCAACNAAGTTAATGTGTTATTGGTGAGCAAGCTGCGGAGGTGATTACGTGCTCGTTCAGCAGACGTTTTTCATTTATTGATTTTTTACATTAAATTTAAGCAAAGGAAACACCGAAAAAGGTCAAGTTTCTTAAAATGCATTTACATTATAATAATCAATGAATGAAATTCGATACGATGGGGAAACGTGTGGAGCGGATCAATGCGCGTAGACAAGCCTTTTATGACTGTGCAACGCCAGCAGAGCAGCAAACAGATCTCCCTTGTGGCACTCGCCACACTTTTGACAAATCATATACTTGAAACCGTCTAGCAGGTTGTGAAGTGGGTGTTGGGCACAACAGGCAACCTTTCTGCCACCCACCTAGAACAAACTAGCACAATTGCGCTATTACATTCGTAAAACATAGACGAAGCTTTGCGCAGCGTCGTAGCTGATGCGTGGTTTTATGCATTTGGGGTTGGGATGCTGTGAATGCTAGCTGTTGTCACGATAGTTGCCTCTATGTATATTAGTGTTTGTAAGGTCTACTATCGAAGTGGTTCTTTGGGGTAGACATTTGATTATAAAAGTTTTGNGGCTTTTCGCAGCGTCGTAGCTGATGCGAGGTTTTTTATGCATTTGGGGTTGGGATGCTGTGAATGCTAGCTGTTGGCACGATAGTTGCCTCTATGTATATTAGTGTTTGTAAGGCCTACTATCGAAGTGGTTCTTTGGGGTAGACATTTGATTATAAAAGTTTTGCCTCTTTGAAATTTTAGAGGCCAAGTGCATAAATACGAGTTTTGGAGTAGCAGATGTGCTACTTCAGAGTGGTAGCTGCGCTGCCCATTACTGCTGGCCGCTTGCCATCGCGTCATACAAACCTCACGAAGGAAGTCTCTTTGTGTTTGGCAATGTGCCTACATATGTATGTATGTATATTGGAATACAATTTTAGTATATGTATGTATGTAAAAACTATATTTACATATAAAAATATATATATGTATACAAGAGGTCATCAGTCGAACAAAAAAAAAAGATATTCAGCTTGGAAATTAAAGATGTTCATGATTAGTAACAGTGGCAGGCAGTCACCGTGATGATGTCACCATTGCATGTCAATGAACTTTAAAAAACAAAGAAAGTATGTTAGGTATCGTTCTTTATTCTAGGAATGCATTAGATGAAAACCAAACGCCGTTATGCCTCCGCTGTTAATTGGATTTTGTTTGGAANAACAGTGGCATGCAGTCACCGTGATGATGTCACCATTGCATGTCAATGAACTTTAAAAAACNAAAACTATATTTACATATAAAAATATATATATGTATACAAGAGGTCATCAGTCGAACAAAAAAAAAAAAAATATTCAGCTTGGAAATTAAAGATGTTCATGATTAGTAACAGTGGCATGCAGTCACCGTGATGATGTCACCATTGCATGTCAATGAACTTTAAAAAACAAAGAAAGTATGTTAGGTATCGTTCTTTATTCTAGGAATGCATTAGATGAAAACCAAACGCCGTTATGCCTCCGCTGTTAATTGGATTTTGTTTGGAAAAAAGAATGAAGAAACAGCAAAGCACCACTGCAAACAGAGCGAGTTAATTGAAAAAGATTACAAGGACAATAAAACAGATTTTTCCGTTCCAATACAACATTTGTCAACCTCGTATAAACAACCAATATCCTCAGTAGAGTGAGTTGGGTAAGGATCCATGAACAATTCTTAGCGTTGAGCAAACAGTCGACAGACGATAGAGACAATTGAAAACCAACTACCTAAATCACAAAAACAGGAAAGATAAAAGCTAACGTTCGAAAACAAACAGTTGCAACAAGAACATCCCAGTGGCAACAACAACCCAGACAGACAATGAACTCTGATAGCAGTGAATTGGAGACGTCTAACAATGGACGCGTNTTAAACAACCAATATCCTCAGTAGAGTGAGTTGGGTAAGGATCCATGAACAATTCTTAGCGTAGAGCAAACAGTCGACAGACGATAGAGACAATTGAAAACCAACTACCTAAATCACAAAAACAGGAAAGATAAAAGCTAACGTTCGAAAACAAACAGTTGCAACAAGAACATCCCAGTGGCAACAACAACCCAGACAGACAATGAACTCTGATAGCAGTGAATTGGAGACGTCTAACAATGGACGCGTCATATTCCATATGCCTCAAAATGCAGTCACAATGGGGTTGCCATCTACAACCCGTATATCGAGTACAATTGCGACCGCCAACAATCCAAACACCCCCTCAACCAGTAGCACAATGCATTCTGTTGTCGGCAGCGTAGGTGGTATTGGTAGTGGCGGTCTTGCAACAGATGTTGGCAATGATTACAATTTGAATTTGAATAGCGAAATGAATGCACCGCCCGCCACGTCTGTAGGTAAACACTGTGAAAAACCGCAAGAGCGCTACGTATGGGAAATGCGCACGCGCAGTCCCAACGTTACACCCGCAAGCACTGTGCTGAATTCGCCTGATTTAAATACAGATGTGCAGTACGCGCTGCACCATCATCAACATCGGCAGCATCATCAGATTAGAGTAGGACGTAGTCCCGGAAGCCAATTCGAACAGCAAAACGTAATGCCGCAGGTAAATACAATTATTCAAAATGTATTATTAAAAGATTCTCTATATTTCATTCATTTGCAGGGTCTCGCGAGCCCAGGTGGATCCCCCACAGACGTTGGCAAAGCTGGAGTGCAGTGTTTGCGCGACGGAGAAATAGTCGTTTTCGATGATATTGACACAAATTGGATGAATAAGGCAAACGCGGCCAACATTTCCAACGCTGTGCTAAGCGGAATCCCAGTTCCAAAAAACACGAACGAATCCTTTACGTCAGTACATCCTCAACACAACAACGAAGATGTCTTAAAAGTAACTAAGATGATTGGCCAGCTACCAATAGCTGAGTATGAAGGCTCACCACGTCGCTTTGGCAATCAACCGCACGGTAATATGAAGCAAGCGAATGCTAGCATATTTTCCAAGCGCCCACCAGGCTTTCCACAGCGTGTATCACCCATTGCAGGCGCACAAAATCAGCCACAACAATACTCAACAATGCAGCAACAGCTAATACAACAAGATTTCAATGCACGTTCTACACAATATGGCCAACTTAGCTTACAACAAACACAGTATTATGCAAACACACCATCGTTAGTGGCAACAAGCGTTGCTGGTGCTGGCATTAATGACTGTCATGATAATAAGTTAATGGGCAATTTGATTGATATCGACGATGGAAGCGTACACGCGGCCGCAGTTGATGGTGGCCAAGTAAAAACGCCTGCTTTTGATTACTTGTACGAGTGCTCTGAGACGCGTAAAGTACTGGAAGATTTTTTTAAAGCGAATTCAGAAGATGAAAAGCGTTTTACTGACTATACTGAAAGCGGCGACGATGTGGGAAGTTGTGTACGTTTGGTGTGAATTTTTTTTTGCTGCAGGGTGAATTAGATTTCCGTTTTGTTTTTTTTTATCCATTAGGATACTCATTTGGAATATGAGCGTGAGCGTGAACGTGAGCGCGAAGAAGGAAAACACATAGAGCAAGCATATATTGGACAACGCTTAGCCAGAATACCAAAAGATGAGTTGAATATGGTGCATCGGTCGCCACGCAAACAAGTGAGTATAGTTGAGTAGTTGGGTAATATAAATAACACATACGCGTATTTTTATTGCTTAATTAACTTCATACCTGTGGTGACCATGTTTTAGATAAGAAAATACAGAACATCTGTTTTCATTAATCCGGTCCCATATTATTTTTATTATTTTTAAGTGAAAACTGTATGAAATACATACAGTATCGGTCATATCTATAGCACGCCATTTCAAAGTGATAATGTGTGCCACTTATGTTTATTTATTTATTTTTAAGAGTTTTCAATTAAAATTTAGTTCATTCTGGGACAAACCCCATTTATACCCAAGTATTGTAGAAAAGTATTTGTAGAAAACAACAAAAAAGTGTAACAAATTTTCACCTAAATTTTAAACTTTTTTGTCAGAAGTGATAGAATTTTTTTGAGTACACAGTTTTTTAGCTCCTGCAATTTTAGTATGATAATGTGCAAATTTCAAGTGGCTACGAATTACCGTTAATTTTTTAGAATTTTTTTTGTCGCATTGGCTTCCATATAATGAATAAATTCAATTTATTTGTATATGGAAGAAAACCGCAACATCCTTGGCGAAAAAAATTCTAAAAAATCAGCGGTAAATTTTAGCCACTTGAAACTTGCACATTATCAGACTAAAATTGATTGGGCTATAAATCTGTGTATTCAGAAAAATTCAAACACTACCGATAAAAAAGTTTGAAATTTAGGTGAAAATTTATTGCACTTTTTTGTAGGGTTCTATAAGTTTTTAAACTTGGGTTTATATGGGTTTTGTTAGAGAAAACACTGTATTTTAATTGAAAATTCTTAAAAATAAATAAATAAACATAAGTAGCACACAATATCACTTTGAAATGGCGTGCTATAGATATGACCGATGCTGTAAGTGTAAAGCCCTTCTGCAGCCAGTAGGTTCAACGTAACCGGCCGGCCAAGGACTGTCACTCTATCAACATTTGAAGTATAACATTATCGACAAGAAAAGGGGGCGGGGAGGGGGCTTGCAAAAAGTTTTGTAGAAAAGCAAAAATTGTCTACGTTGTAAAAATGTTTGCATTCGAGAGTTTGTATATACAGTTGTACAAAATAATGGGAGTGGGATATTTTGTCCAGTTTTGAACATTTCTCTTTTATTTCTTTAATGTTTATTATTTTTTTTTTAATAAAAATTCGAAAAATTTTCAACAGAATTTTTGTAAATAATTTTATAATAAAATAACAATCATTAAATTATTATTGTTTTTAGCATGCATTAAATGAACAAAAGAAAAATTGTCAAAACATCACACGCCTATCATTTCGTGGGCAACTGTATGTCAGTTTATTTATTTATTTATTTATTGTAATAGCACTGCAATTTTAATTCAATCTTTCTCACCCTGTAATTAACTATGCGATAAGACTTTTGACTTACATAAACATACTTTTCTCGTCGCAGAGCTTATTTATATCAATAATAATTCTGTTTAACTAATTCACCTTCTCTGTTTCGCCAGCCCTGTGAGTCTGTTTACAATGAAAACAATGATATCGAGTTGTACATAGATTCGAATAGTCGCAGTAGTGGCGATTTGGCTGACACCGAATTAGAAGCAAATTTGCGCCACCATTCTCGCAATTTCACACTATCCCCAGAGACTACTGATTACGATTCGAATTGCGGTGATCTGGACAGCTTGTCAAATGACATAAATTGTCCCACTGACTATGGTAAATTATACACCAGTATGCCAGTACTGGAGGATGGCCTATCTAGCGGCCATGCATCGGATACGGAAAATAATGTAAATACCGCCGTTGAGAGTGAAAAACAAACAGTGGAAAGCAACTGCGCAGAAAATGGTCAAGCACAAGTGGCTCTGACGATCCAGACTCAAACACGTCAATATCAGCTACAGCAACCGCATACTCCTCCAGCAATGCTGCAAAATAATGAGTACAATGCGAGCTTGTCGCTCGAGTGCCATGACAGTTGCATTTCAAACAGCATTGTGAACGCTGTAACGATGGACAGCAATTTAATAAACGATTTAATTGAAGTTCCTGATCAAACGATTCAGCAGCACCATCAGCGCCAGTCAGAATTTCAGCTCCGCAGTGATGAACTAATGCAACATGATGGTGGCTGCTGTAGCAATAATGCCGCTGTCTGTTCGAACGCATCGAATGAGCTCGGTCACAACAATTCCAATTATGATGCCGTCTACGCAACCACGATGAGTAAGCATGCCAAACAAAATCGATCAAAGTGGCTAAAAATACTAATGCTTTGTTTTCATCATCGTTGTGCGTATTGAATCATTTCGTATTTATATTTTTTTAATCTTTGCAGCTACAAAGCAATCTCCACCACCGCCACCAGCACCTGCAGCATATCGGCAGTGTGTGCGTGCAAAACAGCAACGCGAATCGGCAGATATACAAGAAGCTATGAAGGAGATACGGTCGGCGCTACAACGGGCCAAAACACAGCCAGAAAAATTAAAATTTTGTGATGAGGTATTACCGCCTGACCCGGAATCGCCAGTGTGGGTGCCACGCAAAACTTCACCAACTAGCGCTTCATTGACAACCAATCGGATTGGTGCTAACCTGCATGATCTGCATTGTAGTGGCAATGGTGGCAGTGCGAGCGGAGCGATCGCAGGGGACGAGGAAGAGCCCGATACTGATTTGGAAACGGATCGACTGTTGGGTCAACAGCGGCTCGATGAGCAAGGTTACTTTGACGATAAGGTGAGAACGCATGAAAGAGCACTGCCTAATTTTAGGTTGCGTTCTAAATTTTTTTACGCCACATGTTTTGATTCAATAGACAATTTGGCCCAAAACATCACGTATCGGCGCCGGCACAGATTCCAATGACCAATCACCTAGTACATCGGACATCACAATGCTCACCACAAATTCTGTCAGTATTAAACCGCCAGCATTCTCCTCAGCCACCATTCGTCAGGGCATTGGCACAGCGCTAACGCCCAGTTCGCCCGAACAGTGTCAGATTGTAAGCAACGCAGATGTTACGCTCAGCTCACCCGAAAAGTTGCAATACACAAAAAGTCCAACTGGCTCCATCAAGTCGCTGAAAGATTCAGCGAACAGCGATAAGAAGGCAAAGACACGCAACAAAGAGGGTAAGCTAAGTGAAAAATTCATATGCTTTGTCTCTCAATGTCTATATGTATAATCTTTATTTGTGGCCGTCTGTCTCTTTGTCTCTTTGATTGTCTTTGCACGCTAACGTGATCCGATATTAAATAAATTAAATAATAATAAATAAATCGAAACTAAAACGTTAATGAAAATACAATTGCACAACGTAATGGGTGTGTGTGTGTATGTTCGTGTTTACATACATCAATGTAAGTCTAATGTAAAGTAATTTAGTGAAAATNATGATCCGATATTAAATAAATAAAATAAATTAAATAATAATAAATAAATCGAAACTAAAACGTTAATGAAAATACAATTGCACAACGTAATGGGTGTGTGTGTGTGTATGTCCGTGTTTACATACATCAATGTAAGTCTAATGTAAAGTAATTTAGTGAAAATTAGTTTAAGCGTGAATTATTTTTTGCTTTTATTTACTTTTTGTTTTGCTGTAAATGCTTATGTACTTTATGTACAAACTTGTATCGTTAAATCCTGTTTTAAGTTGGCATTGGTTTCAAAATAATATAGAGTATCAACTTCTCTAGCGATGTACATGAATTAGTATATACATATACATATGTACATATGCGATTAAGGATTTGTTTGATCTTATTTATTATTTTGTTTTGTATGTATGTATGTAATTTCAAATTTCATTATATAATTAATACATTTTCTTCTACTTGCCAGGGCTATTGGATCCTGCAGTGCTAATNAAGATATATTATTAAATATATTTATTATTTTGTTTTGTATGTATGTATGTAATTTCAAATTTCATTATATAATTAATACATTTTCTTCTACTTGCCAGGGCTATTGGATCCTGCAGTGCTAATTGAAGGCGTCCTCTTTCGTGCACGTTATTTAGGCTCAACACAGCTGGTATGCGAGGGCCAGCCAACGAAGTCCACGCGGATGATGCAGGCTGAAGAGGCCGTTTCGCGCATAAAGGTAATTACAAACATAATTGCCGTACAACTATTTTGTTACTTGCAAGAGATTTGTACACCAACGTGTCGCTAACCAAATACAACTGATTCTCTTTTTATATACAATAATCCCTTGGGATTAAATTATTAAATAAAAACGCATGCAAAATACCATATTCTTTACAAGACAAGTATTAATAATCGCATTTCATTTGCATTGGGGACGAGATAAAAATGAAATTGAGTCGCAAACCCCCTGAAAAATACAAATAACGAAACTGAAAAAGTAAAAAATAAAAGCCGTGCCTAAGAAAAGCTGTAAAAAGAGGATCAAGTGTACTAGCTACAAAAATTATTATACAATTTAAATGTTATTCTTTGTTCCCCACTGCNCACAAGAAAAGTATTAATAATCGCATTTCATTTGCATTGGGGACGAGATAAAAATGAAATTGAGTCGCAAACCCCCTGAAAAATACAAATAAAGAAACTGAAAAAGTAAAAAATAAAAGCCGTGCCTAAGAAAAGCTGTAAAAAGAGGATCAAGTGTACTTGCTACAAAAATTATTATACAATTTAAATGTTATTCTTTGTTCCCCACTGCTGCTCGAATATGAATGTGTAACCCTGTAGGCTTTGGTAAGTGTTGCTAGAATCAGTGCTTCTTCTTCTTCTTTATTGACGCTGTAACAGGCTCAGCGATTTTGGCCGAGTCCAAAACAACACGCCAGCCGCTTCTCTTCTGTGCCAACTGACGCTATTTGGAAATGCCAAGTGAAGCCAAATCCTTCTCCACCTGGTATTCCCAACGCAAAAGAGGCCTTCCTCTTCCTCAGTGCTTACAGTTTGAAAATCGACTGATTGTAAAATTTATCATTAGCCACATTTGTATGTACATACATATTTCTCTTTCTCTAAACAAACGGCATTTTCTCCTAATTTTTTGATAGGCTCCAGAAGGCGAAAGCCAACCCTCCACCGAAGTAGATCTATTTATATCAACCGAGAAGATTATGGTGCTCAATACAGACCTCAAGGAGATTATGATGGATCATGCTTTGCGTACAATTTCTTACATAGCCGACATCGGCGATTTGGTTGTGTTGATGGCCCGTCGACGGTTCGTGCCATCTGATTCGTGTGGCTCGGACGCAGATGTGGCAAATGGCTGTGGCAATGGTAATAAGGACGCTCAAGAAAATGGCACTGCGGTGAATAGCAGCGGTAACGGTAGCGGCAGCAACGGCGGCGGTACCGTCAATGGCGTTGGTTGCAGTGTTGGCGGTAGCAGTAATAAGCACAATCGCACGCCAAAAATGATTTGTCATGTATTCGAGAGCGATGAAGCGCAATTTATAGCGCAATCAATCGGTCAAGCCTTTCAGGTGGCCTACATGGAATTTCTGAAAGCAAATGGCATTGAAGATCATAGTTTTGTAAAGGAAATGGATTATCAAGAGGTGCTTAATAGTCAAGAGATCTTCGGCGATGAATTAGAAATATTCGCTAAGAAGGAATTGCAAAAGGAGGTGGTTGTGCCGAAGGTGAAAGGTGAAATACTGGGAGTAGTGATTGTGGAAAGCGGCTGGGGCTCAATGCTGCCTACTGTAGTGATAGCAAATCTGATGTCGGCAGGTGCAGCGGCGCGTTGCGGTCAGTTGAATATCGGTGATCAGTTGATTGCTATAAATGGCATGAGCTTGGTAGGATTACCGCTGTCGACATGCCAGAGCTATATACGCAATGCCAAAAATCAGACAGCGGTAAAATTCACTGTGGTACCGTGTCCACCGGTGGTCGAGGTGAAAATCAAGCGACCCAATACAAAATATCAGCTGGGCTTCAGTGTGCAAAACGGCGTGGTGAGTAGTGGATTTCGTTTTTTTTAGTTCGTTGCATATCTAGTTTTTAGTGCTATACAAATGAAAAAAATACATATTTTTATGACTTCCGAACAGATTTGCAGCCTTCTGCGTGGCGGCATTGCAGAGCGTGGCGGCGTGCGCGTCGGGCACCGCATTATTGAAATCAATAATCAGAGTGTGGTGGCAGTGCCGCATGAAAAAATTGTCAATCTGCTCGCTACATCTGTGGGCGAGGTAAAACAAAATAATTATGGTTGCTTTTTACTTTCATTTAATTGTTGATGTTCTTACTTTCTCACGCAGATATTAATGAAAACTATGCCGACTTCGATGTTTCGTTTACTCACGGGACAAGAGAATCCCATTTACATATAAATTAAGCTTAACTGATACGCTATTACACTCACATTCTGCATACATACTAGTATTTATCAAAATTTTTCCAATTTGATTTCACAACTTGTGCGCTAAACAAAATTACAATACTTTCTTACTCAATAACTAACAAATATGTAAGTATGTACTATTTACACACAAATAATCTGTACTATTAGATAAGTAAGTGCAAGAAAAAACCAATGCAGATTGAAGGTGAACAAAGAATTCGAAATGTTTGAAAAAGAATAAATTTGTAAAGAATGTAAGAAAACACGTAAATTCAACACGATGAAATTGTTAATGTTCTGCATAGTACGCGTATTTCCTTACCGAAATTGCAAAAATAACGTGCGATGATAATTTCCACGAATATCTACACATACGCATACACAGCCCAACATTTTTTTTACTATTAATTAATAACATACAAACTACAACTGTCACTAAATTATAAACTATACACCAATACACGTATATTTATCTATACTTGCTTTTTTCTACTTAACGCAATAATTGAAAAATTAATTAATAACTAACAAAACAAAAAAACGGTCTGTATTATAGAATTTAGCTTCGAACTCAGTTATATACTACTTGTGGAGCAAAGTTAATAAGCCCGCTGCCGGGCTTAATAATTTAACTGTTGTAGCACGCCAGCAACAAGTAAAACAATCACGGCTACAATAACAATAACAAAATCACTAATTGCATACAAAAATGTTAAAAAAAGACTGAAGATGTTTTAAGTTTTTATTTATTATGCAAAACCAAAAGGATAGACAAAAAAGCAAAACAAATTGAAAGAACTTTGCACACAAACTAAAACAAGAGCACACAGCTTCCTTTTTTACTTAGAAAAATTACGCAGTTATGCTTTGCTGCCTCTGCATGGCCAGAAATTGTTTAACAATCGAATTATTTTTTTCTTTTTATGAAATTTTGTGGATTTTGCAAAATTGTATGCACACAAAAAATGTCTTGGTTTCACAACGTTTGCCATATTTTGTACGGTATTAAATTTTTTTTATTCAAGCAGGTTCTGCAATTCACTTCCGAGTGAATTTCAATCAAACCCGCTTTGAATTCACACTGGCAGGGATTGAAATTCACTCGGAAGTGAATTGCTAAAACCTGCCCGATTGATATTTTTTAATTTTCATTTAAGCTAGCTGATTTTAGTTTAACTAAGATATTGATAATGTATGTAGTTCTAACAGTGCCATCATTGCTTATCAATTGAAATTGGTATTTTTCCCCAAACGATATTTAACATTTGAAGCGATAGCTAAATAAACATAAATTTAATTTCTTTATTTTTATGAACAAAATTTAAAAATATATTTATATTTTTCACAAATATCACAAAAGCATTTTTATAAAGCACTTATGCATATATATGTAATATTGTTTTCTATTTGTAATAATTTAGCTCTTAATTGGATGACACATTGAATTTAATTAATATTCTATTAACTACATTTATAATTTTATACCAAAAATAAATTTATCTAGCTACAAAATACAGTTAATAAAGTAAATATGTGCATAAATAAATGTTATATGATTTTTACGTATGCTTCATTTGTTCTTAATAAGGGTTTCAATTCGCATGAAGTGGCGGCAGAAGAGAAGAAATTTCAAAGGCAAGTGGTTATAGTTTAAATACATATGTATGTATATTTTTATAAATTAAAATATATTTAAGCTAAAATTAAAAAAAAAAAATACTTAAAAATAATTATTTTGTGCAGATGTTATGAGGCTTTTATTTGTATTCTTATATAAAAAAAAATACCTTTGGTTACTTTTATTTGATTAAAGCTATCAAAAGGCAGCATCAATAAGTAGTTAGAAGAAATAAAAGAATAGTAATACAAATAATAAACAAATCATATCCTACAGAAAATATACATAAATGGAGAGTTATGTAGTAAACACATATTTAAATATTTACAAAAGGATGAAAGAGAAAATAAAAATAATTGCGTCGAGCTTAAAAAACTCATAGCTAGATAAAACGCTGAAAGCTTGAAAACCTTGGTGTGGGATTCCACTCATTTTTGTGCTAGCGAACAGTAGTATTGCAATTATAGCCCGATTAAGAATAAATTGCACTTGATAAAGAAAAAATAGCTGATGAAAAAATTCGCTTCGGTTTAAAGCAGTGATGGGCAATTTGTCTGAATTTAAAAGTATGTATTTAGTTATTTATGTTGTAGCAAATAATCAAGTTCTTTGTATGTAAGTACTTAGGATGCCACTAAAAACCGAGTTCTTTTAAAAGGTCTGCTAAGTACTACTAATACTTAAATGTATGTAAATGTATCTACTTATTTTCGAGTACCAAATATAGTTTTACCTAACGAAATACAGCGTACAAATGTACTTAGTATTTTAGGCTTCACTAAATAATGTAAAAAAGTATTAGTCCGAATTACCCCGAATAAAATAACACCAAGAGTCCTGAAATCTAGAAAAAATAAGACACGAAGAATTCCACAAAAAATATAGCCTCATAGCAAATTGTAAGAAACGAAGAGAAGTTCGGACATAGTATCGAAAATCCCGAAATAGTGCCGACAATCCAAAAAAGTCACGAAAAAATACCGGCGAGTTCTGAAAAATATAACACGAAGAATTCCGAAAAAACAGTCCCGATAAAATCCTCCAACGCTTCTAAAATAATCCAGAAAAGTAATACACGAACAATCCCGAATAATTCGGAAAAATCTTGAAATCTTTTACAAATCTGGAAAATTGTGAAGCACTTAATTATTTTGTCAATATAAAATAAAAATGCAAAAATTACAGTTTTTTTTTCTTGAATATTTAGCAAAGGGGTAAGTAAGCCTTTTTTATTCTAGTGTTTCGGGATCTCTAAAGACCAATGACCTTATTCATAAAAAAAATAAAATAGGTTTAGAGAACTTTATAATAGACATTTTCATAAAACTTTTCGATTTATATAGCATTTTCAACCTATTTAATTTTTTATGAATAAGTATATGGGTATGTATGTGGTGTCCAAAGAGTTATTTTCAATACTTCAAGTTTGCCCACCACTGGTTTAAAGAAACTGCGCCATTGCTAATACATTTTAGTAAAAAAACACAACATTATTGTATAACCGTGAGCGAGCTTATTTTTTTTACCGTTAGTCCAGTAAAATAAATTTTACAACCACATGTGTATATAGATTAAATCTAAAGCAACACACGCAGTTTTGATATGAAGCCTATATAAAATGTATAGAAATTAGTCAAAAAAATTTATTTTCCACTTTGCACATTTATTTCTAAAAAAATAATAAAAGTATATGTATCCTATATTACGAAATCTTAAAAAAAAAATCCCCCTATTCCTGCACTTCAACCTGTATACATATCTATAATCTACACATACACACGTCCAAATCTTTATAAAAATATACTTACATAAATATGGGCCATTCCATACAATATTTGTACCAAAATTTTTTTTTTGGGTGAAACATATTTTTTTACATTCCTCATCGAAAAAAAGAAGACACCTATTTTTTCATTTCGTTATCATATTCGAAAATCTCGAAAAAAAATTCCCGAAATTTTGAACTCACGGAGAAGTATCTTTTTTCAATTGTCGGCAGTTAATAAACTATTTGTCGGAGAAAATTAGTTAAGGTATCAAACTGTGGGAGTGCGAGTTAGTTTAAAATAAAAAACAGTTTGCATTAAAAAATTGCATTTTTTTATTTTTTTTTTTNCTATGGGAATGCGAGATTGTTTAAAATAAAAAACAGTTTGCATTAAAAAATTGCATTTTTTTATCTTTTTTTTTGTATTTTTTATTAACAATACCATGTTCGATTTTTAGTTTTTTTCAACCTGAATAGTTGTACTTTATGAAGTACGCTGTAAAAATTTGACAATGGTAACACCAACACTGAAGAAGTTACGACTTTTTTCATACCTGCGAACATAATGTTTATACATAAAGTGAGTTCAAAATAGGTGTCTTCTTTTTTTCGATAAAGAATGTAAAAATATATATTTCAGCCCAAGAAAGTATTGAGGTGTAAATATTGGATGGAATTACCCATATGCAACCCTTTGTATAAATAACTCGACTCCGTATTATAGTTTTTTAGTAGCCGCCTTTTGCTGAATAAGTTGCCCAATTATGCATAAAAAGAAGACTAGAATAAAGCCGAAAAATTAGAAAAGCTCAAGCTCTCAAGCTTAGTTTTTCATAATATTGAGGTACTAAGCGCCTAACTGCAAAAATACAAACATACTTATGTATCGGTCAAAATAAAAATTTCGTACGTGTGTAAAAAAAAAACTTGAGAAAATTATATCCTATTAAAATCCAAACAATTGAACCGTCGCTTTTGTAGCGAAATCCAATGTAAAAGGAAATCAGTAAAAAAGGAAAGAAAAATAATAATGAAAAAAAATGCATATTTGCTGGATTTTTTCAAATATAAACACAATAGGGTTGTTCAGGATCTTGTGGAAATGGTATTGGATTTGTAGTTGGAATTGCATTTGCAAATGTTATGTTTGCTGCCATGGCAACCGTATGCATTTTATTGTTGTGAATTAACAAATGCAACGAACTTACAAATGCAACGAATATGCAAATGCAAGAGCATATGCACAAGATTCGGAACAGCCCTAAGTTTATCGCGTCAACTAAAAAATGCAAACCTGCGCTGCTTCTTTCCAACAATAATGCAATCAAATACAATAATAATGAGATTAAAATAAAATTTGAGGTTATAAAAAAAAATAAAATGGCTGAGAAACAATAAATAAAAATAAATATTATACCTAAAACTATCTGTTTCTTTAAATTTAAATCCTCTTTTCTTGACATCCATATGGGTCAATTTATGGCTGTAGTCGGCCATTTTTGTTTTAGTTGAACTTTGTTCAGAATTTTTCTTTTATCATGGAGCAAAGTTTTGGCGCAGAAAACAATTTCTTTTAAAGCTCAAAATTTCACAATTTCCGGGATTTTGCAATTTATGCAATATCTCAGTAATTATTATAGTTGCTAAACATAAAATATTTATTTACAAAAAAAAAAAAAGGAAAAAAAAAAAATTAAACACAGTTTTAAATTTTAAAAAGTCGTAAGACCAAACTGAATTTTTTTATACTGACCTTGAAAGATCCTGGAATTCTCAAAGCGGTGTTTTTAGGCTATGATTTTTTTAATTCTAAAAGTAAAATTTTTTACAAACTTTAAATCAAAGCCAAATTTTAATTTAATTTAAA